AACCTTTCTATGCTTAACAGCTTAACGCTGCATCTCATCAACATCGTTCCAGTGATTTCAGTGGAATTATGGTGATTTGCAGGACAGTAATGAGGGCCCAGGCCCTGCCCATCAATGTCAGTCCTTTGAGCCGGTGGAGCCGCTGGCGAGGCCGCCGCAGCGCTCGGGTTTGAGACCGTATTCCCGGGGAAAGCGTTGGGAGCCAGTGGTGTCCAGGGGAGCCGCCTGTCGGCCCCGTGCCGTGGGCTGCTCTGCTAGAGGAGCGGTTTGCCGTGCCGCCGGCTGCCAGGCAGGATGAGACGGTGTGTAACAGCCGCTGTAGTGTGTTAGCTGTCTGGAAATGGACATATCCCATTTTCTGTTTGGTTATGAACATTTTCTGTTTGGGTAAGTGTAACGGGGATTTAATCAGTCTGAAATAGAATTGTTCTTTGGCCAAAGTTGTAGCAGAATCACATTGCAGAATGAAGTTTTTGGTAATGCAAATTGCGTGTGTCCTTGTTTAACTGAAAACAGATGACATGTATCGGTTGTATCGGGAGATGTATCAGTTTCTGGCCCCACTCTGCCAAGAGGGTCAGTGAAACATGTCAGTGAAACAGGCTGGGGTGTTCCCAGGAGCCACCCTGTGGGTTTGGGGATGACACGGGTGGCTGGAAGGAGCATTTTGCTCTCCTAAAAATACATCATGTACTTTGCAATGTGCAGCTTATTATTGCAATATAGGTTGTAGTGTCTGTTGTACCAAGATGTTACAGTAGCAGGAGAGGTGATTACGCTTTGCATTTTGTGTTTCATCTGTGCTGAAATAGGGAGAATAGTCCTTGGTCAAAAAAAGAGAAACCTCAGCTTGCTCCTGCATTGTGTCGCGGTGTTCCCATTGTTTGCAGTGGTGGAATCAATGCGGGTTTTGAGCTGCGGCGTGGTCTGGCAGCCTGACTCAGATGTGTAAGCATGTTAGCCGAGTTTGAACGCCTTGAATTAGGGGCATTAACAAGTCAGCAGTATCACTCTGCAGGTGTGGTACCACCCCCCCCTCCCCCCACAAGCTATTTGTAAAACATCAATCAGAGTAGTTAATATAAATGTGCAATATGAGAACGTTGGCTTGAATTATTCTTGTAGAGTGTTTGGCAAAAACTGGTTAACTTAATCTAGCTGGGTGTTGCTGATGAGTGGCATATATCACCAGGACCAAGGGGCATTGCATGTATTTCTTCGAGAGCTTTAAGGCAAACTACAGGAATATTGAGATGGAAGGTGAGACCTTATAGCTCCTTCCAGTGCCTGAAGGGGCTCCAGGAGAGCTGGGGAGGGACTCTGCATCAGGGAGGGGAGCCGTGGGACAGGGGGTAATGCCTTTAAAGTGAAAGAGGAGAAATTTAGATGAGATATGAGGAAGAAATTGTTGGCTGTGCGGGCGGTGATCCCCTGGGGCAGGTTGCCCCGAGAAGCTGTGGCTGCCCCATCCCTGGAGGTGTTCAAGGCCAGGTTGGACGGGGCTTGGAGCAACCTGGGCTGGGGGGAGGTGGCCCTGCCCGGGGCGGGGGGTTGGAACTGAATGGTCTTTAAGGTGCCTTCCAACCCAGACCATCCTCTGATTCTATATGACCGTGAGCACCACTGCTTGTGGGGCAGACATCCCCTTCTGCCAGCCTCTGCACAGGAACCCCATCTCTCGGGGGGTGATCACACTGGAGGGGGGAACCCCATCTCCTTTCATCTGGGCCTCCTGTTGCCAGCCTGGGCAGTTCAGTCCCGTCCGCTCCCGAGGGCTGAGTCCCAGGGCAGGTCTCCTCCGGTGTCCTAATTGGCTCTGACACCATGACCGGGGGGAAACGCATTTGTCATGGAACAGCTCCAGCTGGAGGGGGGCTCCTTCTTTGCATTTAAACCCACAGCCTACGAATGACTGGCTTTTGTCCACCACGTGCTGGTGGCTTCAAAGGCAGATTTCTGGGGCGTGTGGCCGTGCTTCTTATGGCGTCTGAATTTGCAGAGCTGCAAAGGCCCCAGGAACATCGCAAGGAGAAATTTCCCAACCCGGGAAACTACATGTTGGTTTTACAATCATGATGGAAATAATACATTTTAAAAGAACCATACAGCTCAAAACCAGCTGCATATCAGACCATGCTAGGCATTGCACTGGGTAGCACAAGGAGGGAATAACAAATTTACCTTTGCATGGAATTATGTTTGCATAATTGGCATCAGCTGTGCTCACGGGCTGGTTATTAATTAGCGCTCCCACATAAATATTCATCCCGAGTCGAGGCAGCCTGCTAGAACTAAAGTGGGAATACCCACGGCGCGGCACAGAGCATCCTCTCAGGTGGTTGGACGCTGCGCATCTGCGCGCTGACGCCCTTTCACCGGCGCCACCGGTGCGGTGGGGAGGAGGAGTCGCGCCGGTCCCGCACCCGCCGCAGAATGAGGCCGGCGCGTGCGACAGCCTGCTGGGGTGCGCGCCTGGGGACGGGCGCCTCTTCCAGTGAGTTGCAAGTTGTTTCTTGTCTTTATGTTTTCTTAACGTTACTAGCGCTAGGAAGAAATGTGCTAAATAATAATGCTCGGTGAAATGCTTCCTTCAATTTGTGCTATTTCTATAACATTGCTATTCAATAACGAGCTGCAAACATCAAACTGTTATACATATTTCATGAATGTGAATTTTGTCGTATGAAGGGAAATGTGAATACTGATGTTTCTTTAGTTGTTTATGAAGATTATGTTTTGTGTTTTTTATATAAAACAAACCATTAGTGAAACACTGTGAAGTCTTTGTTATTTTCTCCAGTTTCTTTGTTCTTTCTAATTCCAAGTGTTGCCTATGTTGTACCATGTCTTTGTTTTCATATAAATAGGGAAAAACTGCCCAATATACTGCTTATTTTAAACAAATCATCATTTGCTGATGTGTTACCTTTTCATTCATACATCCATTTAGATTTCTACCTGATCAGGTCTTTAGCAGAAGGACCTCAGTGGGCATCTCTTTGTTTCATTCAGAGTTAGTAGACTGTTGCCTTAATGGAAATTGTTGAAACACCTTTAATAATACGGCAACCAAAGTACATTTGATTTGTTCCATTTTACTAAAACAATCTAAATTTTGCATAACTTTGAAACGCAGTTTCCGCGCAGGTATTTATGAGTTATCCCACCCATCTTTTGGCAAAGGCTGGCTCTTCCCCTGGGGATGAGGCGGGATCTCTCTGTGTTTGTAGCTCGGTTCTTCCTTCCTTCAGCTGTGGAAGGGCAGGACCTCCCCGGGCAGCGCAGCCCCTCGGGGACCCCCCTGGCTCCTGCTGGAACTGGAACGGCGCAGCTTCCCAGCTGCGGGAGAGCGATGGGGTGACGGGGCACCTCGCCTGGCCGGGGCCGGGACACAGCCTCCACGCTGTCCAACGGAGGGACGTGGTGCCCCAACCCGCTGTGTCCTCTCCTGTGGCAATTATTTCACAGCTGTAATCGACCCCTCCACCCAAACACACCGCATGGAAGTAGTTTCCCGGTACGGCTGTGGGGTGTGTGTGAGCTGCCACCACTTGCCTTTTCCCTGCCTGGGCCAGTTACTGGGAACAGAGTACTTTGAGTGACCTGTTAATTCACAATGTCATTTTTTCCAGGTTTACAGACAAAGCTAGCAAATATAAAAGTGCCAAGCACAGTTCCCAAATGGCAAAATGTTCTTATTTCAAGCGGGCCACATTGTAAAAACTGATCATTTAAATTATATGTGTAAAGTCTCAAAAACTTATGACAAAAATCTTATGCATTTATGATGTCTGAAACCAGAGCAGCAAATATATGTATGATTTCTTTCTTTCCATAGAATCATTATCGGTAAGCACATTTGGCAGCCCTGTGCCGTGTGAGTGTAATTAATACTTTATATTCATGTATAATGTATACGTATGCAATCCAGCTGGGAAGAGCCTGAGCTTCTGTTGCAAGGATGTACCTGATCGCAGGCACAGAGGAAGGTTTGGGGCTGTGCTCAGTAATTTTCGTTAGGCAGGGCACGGGCCATCCTGGTCTGAACGCTCTAACCGGACCCGGGGTCTGACCCCGGCATACGCTACGGCACCGGTGCCCTGCCCGCAGCGCGAGCGCCCGCTGGCCCCGGCACAGGACTCCGCACGGGCAATGTGGCTCAGCCCCGCGGAGAGGGAGGCTTTGATTCGGGCTGGCATTCCGAAAAAATCCCAGTACGCTCTCCCTCGGAAAACATTCCTGGAGCACCTGCAAATTCATCGTGCCCGCCCCAACAGCGACGAGGGAGAATCCAGTGAGAACACTGCAGCCAAAGAGGAAAGAAGAGGATTAGATATGGCTGGACATTTGTCATTTAAGCACTTAATGATTTTGCATAATGTTTATTATGCATAAGCAAAACCTTTCATGGAAAGGAAGTAATTAAACAAATTGCTCACATGGGAGTCTTTTGGAAAAAGAATTTTAAAAAATCACATTCCTTCTATATTTCAAAAAATAAAAGGATATTCAGGTTTTAATATTTTTCCTTTAAAATTATGAATCCAAATTTTCAAAAGGTGGTGTCCAAGCAAAATGCTGCAAAATCATTAAAATGTGAACTCATCCAAATAGTGATACGAATATTAGGTTTTAATTTTTTTTTAAGATATTCTGAAATGCTGCTAAGAATATGGGTTATTTCCCAATCATTTGAATGAAAAAATTCCTGC